TCCTCCCTCCCTCCCTTCTTTCCTCCCTCCCTTCCTTCCTCCCTCCCACCCCTTCTCTCTCCTTCCCTTCCTTCCTCCCTCCCTCCTTTCCTCTCCCTTTCCCTTCCTCCCTACCTCCCTTCTTCTCTCCTTCCCTTCCTTCCTCTCCCCTTCCCTTCCTCCCTCCCTCCCTTATTCTCTCCTTCCCTTTCTTCCTCCTCCCTTTCTCCTTCCCATCCTTCCTTCCTCCCTCCCTTCCTCCTTTCTTTTCTTTTCTTTCCTTCTTTTTTTTTTTTTGCCAATTAGTTTGACCTTATCAGGTTGCTCAGGTTAGCCTTGAACTGATGACCTTGACTTCGCGAGCGCCACGACCTCCGGCGGGAGCCACTTTGGGCCCCTTCTTTCCTTATTTCTTTCTCCTTCCTTTTCACTTTCTCTTTCTTTCCTTTTTTCTTCTCTCTCTCTTTCTTTCCTTTGACAGGGTCTCACTCTGTTGCCCAGGTTTGAGTATACTGGTATGATCTCGGCTCACCACAGCTTCAACCACTCCAACTCAAGCAATCCTCCCACCTCAACCTCCCGGGTAGCTGGGACTACAAGCACACACCACCATGCTCAGCTAATTTTTTGTATTTTTTGTAGAAATGGGTTTTTGCCATGTTGCCCAGGCCGGTCTCGAACTCCTGACCTCAGGTGATCCACCTGCCTAGGCCTCCCAAAGTGCTGGGATTATAGGTATGACCCACCATGCTCGGCGTATTTTTCTTTAAGACAGATTCTAGCTCTGTCTCCCAGACTGGAGTGCAGTGGTGCAATCTCAGCTCACTTCAGCCTCTGCCTCTCAGGTTCAAGGGCTTGTCTTGTCTCAGCCTCCCAAGTAGAACCACCAGGCCCAGCTAATTTTGTATTTTTTTTAGCAGAGTTAGTGTTTCACCGTGTTGGCCAGGCTGGTCTCGAACGCCTGACCTCAAGTGATCGGCCTGCCTTGGCCTCCCAAAGTGTTGGGATTGCAGGCATGAGCCACTGCAGCCAGACAATATGAGATACTCAAATACTCGCCATTGTGCGGCAATTGCCTGCAATATTCAGTACAGTCACATGCAGGGCAGCCTTAGGAGCAATAGGCCACTCATCCAGCCGAGGTGTGTGGTAGACCACACCATCCAGGTTTGTATCAACACACTCCACATTTCACACACCGTGAAATTGCATAACAATACATTTCTCAGAAAGTATCCTTGGCATTAAGTAACACTACTCTCTGAGTCACTAAGTATGTTAAAACTGATCAAATTGTATCCTTTTTTTTTTTTTTTTTTTTTTGAGATGGAGTTTACCCTCTTGTTGCCCAGGCTGGAGTGCAGTGGTGAGATCTCAGCTCACTGCAGCCTCCACCACCTCCTGGGTACAAGAGAGTCTCCTGCCTCAGCCTGCCAAGTAGCTGGGATTACAGGTACCCACCTCCATGCCTGACTAATTTTTTTGTATTTTTAGTAGAGACAGGGTTTCACCATGTTGGCCAGGCTGGTCTAGAATTCCTGACCTCAGGTGATCTGCCCACCTTGGCCTCCCAGAGTGCTGGGACTGCAGGTGTGAGCCCCCACGCCTGGTCCGAATTGTGTATTTTAAATATGTGCAATGTAACATACTACAATTATACCTGAATCAAACTGGAAAAAAAAAGTCAACTCAAGGAACTAGAATAAAACATTTTCAGAAGGAGAGCTTCACCTCCCCACTGGCCCTGAGTTTCCACATCTTTTAACCCAACTTCTAATTTTAGATAGAAAAGAAAGAAAAGGAGAAGAAAAAAGACACCGAAGTGAGACATCGCTTTAGAAATGTGTTGAAAATACATTAAACACGGAGATGTTACTGTAATAAGCTAAATCAATAGTTCCAGATCTGCCTTATCAAATCTTTTAAAATATTTAAAATTAGCAAGAAAATTACTGTTTACATAATTTTGATGAATATATCCTATTATGTTCTAATGAGGGTTTTTTTAATTTTTCATTTTATTTTTGTGATAGAAGCTTTTCTTTCCAAGTCTTCTTAAAGGGACGTCACTATTCCATATGTTTAAAGCACAATGTAAAAAGAATGAATCTGTTTTAAACTAGTTAATGAAGTTCCCACAGGGCACACATATGTACCCTGACTTGTCTCATGTGCAGACTTTCTACCTGGTCCTTCAGTTGATTTCCAGTCTGTTTTTTAATTTCTTTCTTTCTTATTTTAAAGAGACAGGGTCTCACTTCATCACCCAGGCTGGAGTGCAGTAGCACAATCACAGCTCACTGCAGCCTCAACCTCCCGGGTTCAAGTGATCTTCCCACCTTAACCTCCCAAAGCATGTCAACCAAATCTGAGAAAGGCATCCTTCATCTGGTTTACTGTTTCCTTGAGACAGCTGCTCTCTGGGCTTGTTCGGCTGACAGCTTTTCATGCAGAAGAAACCTGGAGACTGAGGCAGTCCACCCTTGGTTGGTCAAGCCAGGGTGCTGGGGTTAACCTTAACCTCCCAAGTAGCTGGGACTACAGGTGCCTGCCACCATGTTCGGCTAACTGTTTGTATTTTTTGTAGAGACAGGGGTCTCACTATGTTGCCCAGGCTGGTCTTGAACTGCTGAGCTCAAGCAATCTCCCTACCTCGGCCTCCCAAAGTGCTAGAATTACAGGTGTGAGCTACCTCACCTGGCCCTGTTTCTTTTCTGTTTTGAGACCTTGCACAAGTCACGATGCCACTACTAGCCTCAGTTTCCCCATTTGTAACACGGAGACAATAATCGCTCAACTCCAAGTAGCCCAATGCATGGCACACACTCCAGAGATGAAAGAGGGAGTTTCTTCCTGTATAGCAATAGCTGATAATTATTTGATGTTATACTCAATTACCCTGGAAACTGTTATCTCCCAAAAGGATGGCAAAGGAAGGAAACGATCATGCTTGCTGCCTTCATTCAAGCCTGAGTGCTGTTTATACAATAAACTGGGTACTTCTGGATGCAACATAAAACGTTCTTTAAAAAAATCCCGCTTTTCATTCCTCACCTGCCAGACAGCTGAACCACAGCTTTATGAAATATGAAGGAAGCCCACTTTTATGGCCAGGCCTTCATCTTCAAGTTCCTTGGCATACGAGTCCCTCCAAGATATTTTATTATTTCCAAGAAACTGTAACTGAGCCTTTTTATATACCTTCTGTTGTCATAAGAGTGATCACACATAAAGCATGTCAACCGAATCTGAGAAAGGCATCCTTCATCTGGTTTACTGTTTGCTTGAGACAGCTGCTCTCTGGGCTTGTTCGGCTGACAGCTTTGATAGGATTATTGAGCACAGCTTTTCATGCAGAAGAAACCTGGAGACTGAGGCAGTCCACCCTTGGTTGGTCAAGCCAGGGTGCTGGGGTTAACAGGAGGCTACTCTCAGTAGATGGAGGTCTGGCGAGCCTGACCCAGACCCCCCACACCTGCATGCTTAACCACTGAGACAGCGGCAAGGGGCTCAGCCACCCTTCCCTCTACGTCTCCACCCTTCTTAGGGTTCCAGCCCACCCCCAACTCCCTGTTGGGGCCAGCCATCTGGCCCCTTACCTGGTCCTTTTCAGCCGAAGGACCAGGTAAGATGCATCTTCACAAGCAACAAGTCAGGGTACAAGTCTGTGCCTTGTGGTGACTTCATTATATAATAATTCAAATCTGATTTGTTCTCCCTCTTTTTACAGACAGGGTCTTGCTCTGTCTTGGAGGCTGGAGTGCAGTGGCACCATCTCAGCTCACTGCAACCTCTGCCTCCTGGGTTAAGTGATTCTCCTGCCTCAGCCTCCCGACTAGCTGGGATTACAGACACGTGCCACCACACCCTGGTAATTTTTTACTTTTGTAGAGACGGGGCCCCACTATGTTGCCCAAGGTGGTCTCAAACTCCTGGACTTAAGCAACCCTCCTGCCTTGGCCTCCCAAAGTGCTGAGATAACAACCATGAGCCACAGCACCTGGCCTTTTCTCTTTCAATTATGCTTTAAAACAGATGCAAGAATAAAGTCCCTTTAAGAAGACGTGGAAATAAGAGCTTCTGTTACAAAAATCAAATCAAATTTTAAAAAGCCCCTCATTGGAACGTAATAGGATATATTCATTAAAATTATTTACTCAACATTCAGTTTCTCTGTACTTGCTAATTTTAAATATGTTTAACTACCTGACAAGACAGAGCTGAAATGAGGCAAATCTGGCTCCAATTCGACTCCCTGGGCCTCAGTTTCTCAGTCTTTAAAATGGGGACAGAAAAAATACTTTAAAAAAAATCCAATCAAACCATCGTGGTGAACATGCTTTGTAAATTAGCCCGAGGCCTTGGTGGTTCACGTTTGTAACCTTAGCAGTTTGGGAGGCCGAGGAGGGCAGACCACTTCAGGTCAGATCGAGACCAGTCTGACCAACGTGGTGAAATCCCGTCTGTACTAAAAATACAAAAATTAGCCAGGTGTGATGGCACATCCCTGTAATCCCAGCTACACGGGAGGCTGAGGAAGGAGTATCGCTTGAACCCGAGAGGTGGTGGTTGCAGTGAACTGAGATCACGCCACTGCACTCCCAATAATAAATATATATATAAATTAACCTGAGGCGAGCTGTTATTGTCATTATTATTCCTCCTTTGCTTTAGAAAGACGCTCACCCTCCTCCCGCAGGCCCTGAGGCTTGCAGATAAATGTTTGCCGACTGCAATCCCTGCAGAAGCGCTCCTCCCTTGAGCCGGCTCAGCTTGGCAACCCTGAAGAAATCACTTAGCAAATCGAGGAGCGCCAGCCTTCCCGCAAGACACCTCCTGCTTCCTAAAGGGAAGTCTCTAAATCCCCCTGTAAAAAAAATCTCAGAAAATAATTTTAGTCTCATTAATTCTGGAAACAAACAAATGCAGAGGGAAGACGACGACCTAAATAAAAGGACAAGGCAAAGGGGGACGCAAGGATCCTGGAGGGGGGCGGCGACCCCACACTTGGCTACACGTACCTGGACCTGCAGAGGCAGAAAGCATTGGGCGGAGCCCTGGCGAGGTAGGGCCTGAGGTAGGCGGGGTCGGGGCGGGGCCACTTGATGGGGCGTGGCCCGCAGCTGGGGATGTGGTGGGTCGTGGTCCACCGGCGGGACCGGACGCTAAAGGCCGGAGAGGGGGCGAGGCCTGGGAAATAACAGGACGGGGGGTGGGGCTGGGGCGGGGCCTGGAATTGAGAGGGGGCGTGACCTTTCCTCCTCTCCGGCCAAGGCATTGCAGGTGCAAGGAATGGAGACTCCCGGCCGCGTGGCCCTGCAGGTGACGTGCGTGGAGAAGAGGAGGCCAGGTTGGGGCGTCGGAGCAGTGAAGACAGCTTTCTCCTCTCTAAGGTTAAAACTGCGAGAGCACCACAGGTTTGGGGGAGCCCCCGCCTCGCAAAATAGGGGGACTCCAAGAGGAAGAAGAGACACCTCCAAAGTATTAGGAAATTCCTGGCTCCGTCATTAGCACCCTAGAGTCTTTCCAACGAGAGATCTGCACTCCCTCTTAGGAGGTGAAACTCCTCCACAAACTGCTTTGGCCACTGGGTTCATACTTCCATAGTCACAGAAGCTATCGCCTTCCCTGCCTCCCCTTCCCTCCCTCAATCCTGGAGGCAGGCAGCCGTGGGCACTGGCGCTGAAGGAGCTAGAGGAGGTAGTCAGCACCCCTGCCTCAGTACCCTGGATCTAATGTGGAGGGAAGTAAAGAAACCTTTATAGGCCAGGCACAGTGGCTCACGCCTGTAATCCTAGCATTTTTGGGAGGCTGAAGTGGGCAGATCACCTGAGGTCAAGAGTTCGAGACCAGCCTGGTCCATACGGAAAAACCCCATCTCTACTAAAAATACAAAAATCAGCCAGGCATGGTGGCGTGCACCTGTAATTCCAGCTACTCTGGAGGCCGAGGCAGGAGAATCACTTGAACCCAGGAGGCAGAGGTTGCAGTGATTGAGATCACACCACTGCACTCCAGCCTGGGTGGCAGAGCAAGACTCCATCTCAAAAAAAAGGAAAAGAAAAAAAGAAACTTTTATAGGGTGGCTTGGTGGCATCCATTTTCAGCAAGGACTCAGAACCTTTCTTTCCAAATTGGTTATGCCCTTTTTTGTTTGTTTGAAACCTGAAGTTTGCAAAATCCTTCAAGGATCTACGTCGCAAACCTAGATTTATATTTTTGTTTTTGTTTTGAGGCGGAGTCTTGCTCTATCACCAGGCTGTAGTAGCACGATCTCGGTTCACTACAACCTCTGTCTCCTGGGTTCAAGTGATTCTCCTGCCTCAGCCTTCCACATAGCTGGTACTACAGGCACACGCCACCACACCCAGCTAATTTTTTGTACTTTAGTAGAGACAGGGTTTCACCATGTTGGCCAGGATGGTCTTGATCTACTGACCTCGTGATCCACCTGCCTCGGCCTCCCAAAGTGTTGAGATTACTTTGGGCATGAGCCACTGCACCCTAGGTTTATGTTTTAACCCTGTGGTCCTCAGAAGCAGGGTGCAGGGAATGTATTCCGTGGATGTCTTCACATCCACAGGGACCAGGGCTGCTTTCTTTTTTTAAGAGCGGAGCCAGGATTGGGCAGGTGGGTATCCAATATGTTATTGTCTAGTAGCAGACATGATGCATACCAGGTCCAAATGAAAAGTTTCATCCACCAGCTTCTGCCCTCTGCTTTGAGAATGAGAGACATCCACCAAGAAGCAGCTCCTTCTGCTTGGGTCCCAGAATCAGACACATGGAGCTGGCCCATAGCCACAGGCTCACACCATGAGGGAAAGTAACTGTTTGTTGTGGCAAGCCACCGAAATGTGTGTGATGTTTGTTATTGCAGCAAATCTGACTCATACAGTCTGCAAACTGAAAACAGAAACAGCGGGAAGGGGCATGCGTGTTGGAAAACGTCTGAGCAAAATGATGATAGATTCTATGTGCTTTGGTTCAACAGATTTCTTGCACAAAAGGAGGAGGGAAGGAGAAAAGGAATAGGCACAGGTTTTGGAATTGGGGGTGGGGAAAGGCTTCTCCACTCCTTTGTGAATGTAAAGATCACCTCATTGTTTGAAGACCCTGTTTTCTAGTCTCCTGAGGAGGTCATATATACACAAAGCTGGCACACACCAAGCCTGTGGGACAGGTTAACTCCCTCTCCTCCCTCCATCTCATTCTAGACTCTACTGTGGCCAGCTGGGCATGAGCTAAGCAGTGCTGACACAGAGCAGGTGAGGCTCCCGGCTGACCTCCAGACCCCAGTGTTAGGTAGAAACTCACTACCCGCACCCTACCCCCAGATTTCCTTCCAAAAAACAACTCCAGTGAGTCACTCTGCCCGGACCCTACCCGTAGACTTCCTGCATTCTACCAATGCACTCAACCCTTAAACCTCCCGCCTGTCTGAACTTTGCCTGACCTCTACAGAAAGGACCCGCATGGCCCACCCTACTCTGCCCAGTAATTACATTCAGTCGCCTGGAGACAATCAGTCCATCTCAAGCCTCCACAATGACCTCATCAGCTCTGTGTCAGCCCTTTGTTCCTTTTCCTATAAAGCCTTTCTACTTCAGCTGCCCAGTTGCAGCCAGCCCCAGCCTCCTTCCTCTCTGGCCTGCCCGCTGATCCCAATAAACCTGAACTCAGCCTTCAACTCTCGAGCTGTTATTTGGGATTGAGTGTCGGGCAGAGGGGCTGGACGGGGGTCGCACACCCAGCATCTTGGGAGATGGGTCCAAAAGTATCCATGGAGGCTGGGCCAATGCCACCCCAGGAATGAATCCCTGAATTTGAAATAACCATCTCTCAGAATATCCACCCATAAGGTCCCATCCATGGTTAATGTGGACCAAGAACCCAGCTCTGCCCTCGTGTTAGTCCGTTTTCACACTGCTATAAAGAACTACCTGAGGCTGGGCACAGTGGCTCATGCCTGTAATCCCAGCACTTTGGGAGGCCGAGGCAGGCGGATCACCTAAGGTCAGGAGTTCAAGACCAGCCTGGCCAATATGGTTAAACTCCAGATCTACTAAAAATACATAAATCATCTGGGCGTGGTGACACATGTCTATAATCTCAGCTACTTGGGAGACTGAGGCAGGAGAATCACTTGAACCTGGGAGGCAGAGGTTGCAGTGAGCCAAGATTGCACCACTGCACTCCAGCCTGGGTGACAGAGTAACACTATGTCTATTTAAAAAAAAAAAAAAAAACTACCTGAGACTGGGTAATTTATAAAGGAAAGAGGTTTAATTTATTCACAGTTCTGCCTGGCTGGGAGACCTCAGGAAACTTCCAATCATGGTGGAAGGTGAAAGAGAAGCAAGTACCTTCTTCACAAGGCAACAGAGAGAAAGAGCCCGCAGGGGAAACTGCCACTTTTACACCATCAGGTCTCAGGAGAATTCCCTCAGTATCCTGAGAACAGCATTTGAGGAAACCTCCCCTATGATCCAATCCCTCCTACCAGGTCCCTACCTCATCACGTCGGGATTACAATTCAATGAGATTTGGGTGGGGCACACAGAGCCAAACCTTATGAGCCCTCCAGCAAATTCCCCAAAACAGGGTCATAGGGGACGTCCCACAGGCAGTCCAGAAAAGAGAACAGACTCACAGAAGGGGTTGGGCTCAAAATCCCTCCAGTGGGTTCAGCTTTGGAACACAAAATAAGAAAGCCCCTATGTTTCAGATGCCCCTTTCTCAAGATCAGGCTCAGAGTGTGGGGTTTCGGGTGCACATACATGTATCATGGGCTCCTGTCCCCTTAAGATGTGTGCTTCCCTTTTGCAGGGGTGGACTCGTGCTGCCCAACCAGGGACAACATCCCCCAACCTCCCCTACAGATGGGCGTGGCCACATGGTCATATGACTGAGTTCCAACCAATGGAATGAGAGGATCTGGTTAATGCAAATCTCCCTGTCCATCTTCCCATCTCTGACACATTGTCAGGTGGGTAGTGATGCCCATGGTGACTTTGGAGTGAGCTGGCGACATTGGCAAAGACTCAGGAGCCCCACACTCCACCTCCAATGTGAGAAGGAAAAACACTTCTACCGTGATGGGCCACAGAGCCTGTGAGGTTTATCTGTTGTAGCAGCTAATGTTACTCTAACTCACCTCTCAATGTCCTTAGCCTAGTCCTGCCCTCAAGGGGTTCCCAGTCTAGTGTCCACAGCAGTTGGCCATTCAGTGACAACGTGAAGCACTGAAGAAAGTGAATTCAGCCTCTTCCTGATAACAAAGAGTTATCAGGATGGTGGGAGGGGATTGTGGGAGGGACAAGAAGAAGAACATGGATGTGGTGGCTCAGCCTGTAATTCCAGCAATGAGGCAGAGGCGGTGGATCACCTGAGGTCAGGAGTTCAAGACCAGCCTGGCCAACATGGTGAAACCCCGTCTCTACTAAAAATACAAATATTAGTCAGGTGCAGTGGTGGGCGTCTGCAATACAGTTACTTGGGAGGCTGAAGCAGGAGAATCGCTTGAACCTGGTAGGTGAAGTTTGCAGTGAGCTGAGATTGTGCCACTGCACTCCAGCCAGGGCAACAGAGCGAGACTCCATCTCAAAAAAAAAAAAAGAAAGAAAGAAAGAAAGCATGCCAGATGGGAGAACAGCATACGCCAAGGGGTTTCCCCTAAAATGTGTCCCTGCAAAATGTCACATGTTGAAATCCTACCCCAGAATGTGACCTTACTTGGAAATAGGGTTGCTGCAGATGTCATGAGTCAGATGGAGTTACAAGGGTGAGCCCTAATGCAATATGATGAACGTCCTTATAGAAGGGAAGTTTCGACGGAGTTATGGAGGCAAGAACACTCCACCATTTCGTGAAGAGATACTGGGAGCAGATGGCCATGGACAAGCCCAGGAGAGAAGCCTGGTACGAATGATCCCAGCAAGCCAGGCGCAGTGGCTCATGCCTGTGATCCCAGCACTTTGCGAGGCTGAGGCAGGCGGATCGCCTGAGGTCAGGAGTTAGAGACCAGCCTGGCCAACATGGCAAAACCCCATCTCTACCAAAAATACAAAAATTAGCCAGGCATTATGGCACATGCCTGTAATCCCAGCTACTTGGGAGGCTGAGGCAGGAGAATCGCTTGAACCGGGGAGGCGGAGGT